ATGTGTTCAAGTTTTATTATCTATTCCTTGGTGAAGAACCATGTATTGTAATAAAGAATACTTCGACTCCTTTATCGTTTCAGTGTTTCTTGATGTACGTTCTGTGCATTCAATTTAGAGCATCACTTAATGAAGCAGTTGAAGAAACAGAATATTTAAAGTTTTGTGTGATTGTTTTAAAAAATTTTCACTGAAAGATTTGGGTTGAGTCATTCTTATTTCAATAAATGAGAAAAAAAGTTCCTGCATAAGTGGAGTACTTTCAGGAACGTGATATTATAGAAAGGATCGTGCGACTGGTAATAGCCGGGGAAAGTGTTGCTATTACGGAACAGGTGAGCTGCCATTTAAAGTAGTTTAGTATCACTTATGTAATTTGAAAAATAAAATTTGTTCGAATGGAAGTGTAGTTTATATTTTCAAAGTTCTCAAGAATTTTATTTTCAGGGAAGAGAATTCACAACGGCTGCTCGTTATCTAATTAAAAACGAGAAGTGCCCCAACGTTGAATGTGTAGCACACATGGATAAATTCTTATCAAAAATATCTGTAAGTTGAACTCGTTCTTGACAACTATCTATCGTGATAAATGTTTATTAGGGAATATATGCATTTGCATTGATTGACATTATTTACATAAATATTCACAAGATGTTTCAGAGTTTGCTAGAAGTTGATGTCATGCCTGGCCTGGGTGATCCATCTACTTATCTAATGCCTCAGCAGCCGATTCATCGTGCAGTATTTGAAATGGGTTCAAAACACGGGAAAATGCTCAATCTCGTGACCAACCCTTATCAGTTCAGTTTGGAAGGCGTTCATATTATGGGAACATCGGGTGAGTCAAATCAAATTGGTAAATCCATAAATAGTTTTAATGTATTGTTGACAGAACGGTGTGTTTTTGTGCTTTCACATCTGGAAATGATTATAGAAGCTATTTCTGTGACATATTATTTCATTCAAGCTTACAAATAAATTGTTTAAGGCGAATGCTTATCCGATTTGAAACGTTTCACTAAGAGATTAAATGGTATTGAATTACTCAGCAGAATTCTCCACTGGCAACACCTGGCACCGACTATCCCGGATACCGTAGATGGATTTCCATTCGTGGATCGAGACCCATTTATTATTGAATTATTCCCCCATATACTTTTTGCAGCCAATCAGCCAGAAGCATCTCATGTTGTTGTTGAATATGAGGGAAATCGGCGCACACTCCTTCTTTCCATACCGAGTTTTACGAAAACATTTTCAATGGTACTTGTAAACTTACGAAATCTTGAAGTCGTTGAACGTAACTTTTCTGTTGATCGACTAATTTGTGACATTTAAGTAGGTGATATAGCAGGAATTATTACTTAAAATCATGCCATTGCATGAATATTTTATATAAGCAGGATGAACATTATTTTGTTAATTGCAAAATCTTAGTTTCTCTCACTTATTCCATGCCTTTCTCTGTGTATTTTGATGTTTAATTGATAAAATTCTGGTATGATTCAATCATTTTGTTTTTGTTTAATATAAAAGGAAAGATGGCCGATGACACGTAAGATTTTGTACAAAGCGGTTAAACACATTCCTTCTTTCAGATGCCTATGATATACTGGGATCCATTTTTCCAGTGCAAATATAGTGTGCGCTGTCATATTACTTCGCGGTCATTGTGTTACTATCATCTATTAAGTATTCATTTTTTATTAAGGACAAAATGGTTTGCATCAACAAATACGACACAATTTTAACTCTCGAATAGTTTTTGTAGCATCAATGCATACATCCAATCAGTAGTATAAAATAAAACTGATACTCTTTTTTATATTATTGCACTTTATTCAACTACTCCACAGTATAGAAAACATTATGCCACAGTGAATGAAGTCTTGATATTAAAAGATTCGACAATGATCTCTGTAATGCTTCTGGTTACTGTCAGGCAAAATACTATCAAATAGCTTGGATCATAAAATGAATTAATTCGCATTATTTCAAGAAACAAATGAAGGCGATATTTCAATACGAACAGGGATAAGCGATTATTTGCATCGAAGAAATTTCAAGTTTATATGAAAGTTTATGTGACAAAAAAATTTATGTGGAAAATAACGCGACTGAGTTTGTGTGAAACAGTTCATCATCAAAAACCTTCAAATAGTTGAATAGAGATGGCGATGAGCTAATAACATCGAAGAAGAGGGAAAGTGGGTTGAATGTGAGCGCACGTAATCAGTTCAGATATTTCAGCGGATTGTAAATTTATATGGGGACATATACAGACAAGAGATCGTATAGGTGCAATCAGTGTGACCAAAGACTCAGATAAACCATCGAAGTGCACAAACTGACGTGGAGACTACTGCTCATATGTAAGGAATTCAAATAATTCAACAATCTGCAAAGACACGTGCCGCATAAAGGTGACAACCATCAGCAAAGGTTTCAATGGTACAACAAAGTACAAGCAAGAAATGGATATACGAGAAAGAATGACCATTTAAAAGGGATGAGCGGTCCAATAATCGCAACAATTTGCAAAAGCATAAACGGATACATAAAGGCGAAAAATTATTCAGACATACTAACAAATTGATGAATGTGGTAACAAATTAAATCGAAATTTAGCTTTAAAAGAATATAAGAAGCATAAGGTCCAATTGAAAAGCCATATTTTATAGTGTAGTTCTACAGTTGTGAAGCGATGGAAAATTCTCTGTCATAGATATATTAATAAAGAAAATAATTTCAAAATTTATTGTATTGTAATAGCTTAAAATATATTTGTATTACTTTGCTTTTCACTTATGCTTTGTCATTACTTCAATGGAATGAAACGGAAAAAAAATAAAAAGAATGCGAGAAATGAGGGAACGGTTTGAAGGAACGAAAATTTCTTTAGTCGTTCTTACAGATTTTTATAGTGAAGTTATTAAAACATTCCAAACATCCCATAGACATGACAATCTGATGCTTGGTTGAATGCCGAAAGTGAGTGATGGAAATTTTCGAATGACAATCAGACAGAATTCTTATTGCATCTATTTATCACTTAAATCTAGAAATCATTTCAGGAGGATTTCTCAAATCTTAAAAAAATTGCATTATGATCCTTTTACTGCTTGATGATTTTAATTGTTAGCCGGAAACCGAAATAATTTATAATATAAATCCGAAAATATAATTTATATAAATCTGTCCAAATAATCAGGATCTTATATTTTTTCATGATTCATCACCCGACATAAAATTAAAACATTGTTACACTACCTAGGGAAATTTCCCTAACCAATCATCAAGTTTATATCCAGAATATTGTAAGATCTTCCTATTAAACATCATGTCTATGCAATGTTTGTAATGTTTAAATAACTTGACTTGTAAAAAGCTTGTTATTCGTCAGAAGGACCAAAAAAATTTTTTCGCTCGCATTCAATTTATTTTTCTTCTTCCGCTTTATCGCATATTCATAGATTAATACTCTGTGCAACATAATTGTTCGTGAATAAAATTCGTTATGATAAATTGTCGTAAAAAATTTCTTATTGGTTCGAGAGAGAAGACTGGAATTCCACGACAATTATAATTGAAAAGGTTTATTGGAAGGAAGATTGGAAATATTGGCAATTAACGACATCCAAAAATGAATACTTCGATTCCTAATTATTGATTGTAGGGAGTTAATCGCTCTGTTCAGAGTAGGGAGTACACACTTGATTGAGGAAAATCTCACTCGATAACTGTGTATATGTCCAACGTAACTTATACAACGATAGTCATTTATATACATAATAAATCAATAAAAACCATGTAGAGATATGTCACAAAGGATGATGCAGACAAATGAGTAGTAGGCCATGCAGAC